AAAAGTTAGCTTTCATATTAAAAACTGAGCCTTCATAAAAGACTGAGCCTAATTGAACCTACCCTAAGTTCAGTTAGGGTTTCATAAAATATAAGCTTTCGGGTAAAAATTGAGCTTTCGTATGAAAAATAAGTTTTCATAATAAAAATTAAGCTTGCAAATAAATAAAAGCTTTAATAAAAAATAAAAAATAATAATAACTTCCATACTTTCACTTTGTTTTAAAATTCACAAACAGCCTATATAAAAACTGCACTAAACGAAAGCCTTGGAGAAACAAGAACGGTATAAAATATTTACCATATGAAGAAACTTCTATTGACCCTCCATCACTTTATAACTGAACGAAAAATTTCTTAGAGTACATATATGGGTAATATCCAAAATTTATTTCAAATTGTACCGAAGTTCCAAAGTAGAGTTAATAAAAATAAACGTGACGAATAAGCTAATCAAAGTTTGTTCAATATCATAATTGAAGAGCTTTTCAAAACACCATTTTTAGTGAATGAATCAGATTAATTTAAATATTCAAAAAATCTATATAGTCTCTACACATATGTAATTATTTCAATACCTCCTTGACGCTTTCGTTATTCTGTTGCAGTTCTTTTCCATGGTGGGTTGGTCAAGGTGTGTCTGCTTCAGAATACTTACTGGTTATTAGCAGCAAAGGCGAGTTAGCCCTAATTGTCCTGCAAAATATTTGTTGTCTGTGGTCAGACCGCAGAATGGGTGCGGTAGTAACTATGAGTGAAAATGTACTAAATGCGCCACAAGAGATAAAAGTCCTTGCTGTGGGCGCACCTAAATTCATAGACATATGAGCACGAGTATACCTGCATATACATATATGTACATATAATACTTGTAAAAGGTAAACGGCTGAAATGAATTGCCCTAAAGGCACATGTTAGTATGTGCCGCAAGCTTTTCATTAAATTTATGCCTATAAATAAGGTACATAAGTGAGTAAGGAAGTTAGTCGAAGGGTTGGTCTTAAGCATTGTTGATTTACAAAAATGTGGATATGTATGTAAGTATGGTATGGTATGGTTTATTTGTACATATACACAATTTCAATAATATTAATTAAACTGACTGTAAATCTCTTCTTGAACCAACTGAAACGGGAGACGAATGTGATGGAATGAATTTAATTTGTCGGGTCTTAAAAGTTGAGAGAGTGAAAATGTGGCTTAAAACCTTTTAAAACCTAGATTTTACAACACTTCAAGAATATTGTCCTAAACTTAAGTTGTTCATCCGAGTAATAGTTTCGGAGATACAGCATTTGAGAGCTCGTGCGCTCGAGGCTAGCTAGGCTAAATGCACCGTCTTTAAACGCGTTTTTCTCGAAACTGTGCTTTTGAAGTCGGTTTGGCAAGGTTTCTCGAGAACTACTCAACTGATCGTCATGAAATTTTACACAGATTTTTGAGACATAATTATGAAAGAATTGGACGATGGATCTTTTTTTTCGATTACAACTTTTTGAAAACAAATTTAAGTTTAACTTTTTTTTACTTTCGTGCAAGTTTTAAATAAAACACGTATTTTTGTACTCCTGTAAAGAGTTATTATACCATTTGCTTTCATATCTTTTTTTAACTTTATCACAATTTTTATTTTGTAACTTGTATATTTCCAATTTTTGTATTAGTGAAAATTACAAAAAAAAAATTAATATTTCATAATATAAATGCAATTTTCTTTGTTTTTTACTCGGAATCAGCTTCATTTAAGATTTTAACTGTCTGAATCCAAAAGTGTGTGACCTTCGGGTTTTGTTTTTCATACCTTTGTTTTTTTTTTTGTTGGTACAACATATGTTATCGCCTCATTAAAGCATGTTAACACCTTTCAACTAAGTGCTGACCAACATTGTGGCAACACGTTAACAGACATATTCATATTTTTCGTTCACTGCAACGCCAGATTAAATGAATCATTACCGTCTTTCACATTCTACTCTAGAGTACTTTTGAATTACACGGGCATTACAAACCCGATTCGACGCGGATACTCATACGTGGCTATAAATGTATACACATATATAATTATATATCTACTTATTAATGCCTGGATTATGAAGCATTCAGCGTGAAACCACTTAATAGCTAGAATTTTCTCACATTAGTGTTGTGGAAGAACGCTGCAGCTCGTTGCAAAGAAGCGCCAAATATGTATGTGTGTATTATCTGCACACACACGCACATTGTGGCACTGAAAACATACAAAAATGTGGCAATTAGCATTAGTTTTAACAGCTGGCAACGCTTGAATGCAATCACAGCGATAAAGAAGAGTCAATTTTAAGCTGTAAAAAGTTGCAACAAGCGCACATGCACATTTGTGCACATATTGCAACGGGCGTATAAAAATGAAAGGTGAAGCAAGAATTTTCAGATATACTTCTTCTTCTTGATTGGCGTAGTCACCGCTTACGCGATTATAGCCGAGTTAACAACAGCGCGCCAGTCGTTTCTTCTTTTCGCTACGTGGCGCCAATT